GTGCTCGCCGGGCCCCGGCAGGGTCGGTCCTGCCCCCGGGGCCCTGCCCCGAGGCTGGTGTCCGTCCGTGTCGTGTCCGTCCCGCCCCGCTCCCTCGGACCTGCTTTCTGGAAGTCTCTTGTACTCTAGTCAGGTTTTCGGTGTTCTCCGCCCATATTCCCTTCTGCCAGTGGGTGCCGCCGCCTGTCTGCGAGCTGTAGGCCCCTTTGAAGCTTAGTGGTTTCCATTGGCTTTGAAAGAGCTTTGGAGAGCACATCACTCAGACCCTGTTGATGCTGCCACTTCTGAATAATTGACCTAAAAGTGCTCTGAGCTTCTCTATCATCCTGTTTTCTTTCTTCTGGCAGAGAATAAAGTTTTTGTGTGCCTGGGCTCACTGGCCTAAAAAAATCTAAAGGTGTGGATGTGAACTTACGGTCTCTTCCTACGGTGGGTTCATACCGCATCCAGAGTGTGGAGCTAACACAAAAACCACAACCTCTTTAGGATGCTCCCAAGCTGGTTGTTTACCTTCTGAGCCCCTAGGTCAGCGATAATAGTATCTAGTGCAGTTTCTTAGAGATGAACAGTCAAAAAGTCTTCCTTTCCCACTCTGTTGTGGTCATTGCTGAAGGAGTAGAGGTTCTCCTGCCTGATCCTGTTTCTCCATGTCTATTAAATTAAGCTCAACGTGTAGTGAACTCCAGTTAGCGAGCTGATGGGTTCACTATCAATTGAGGACTAGTTTGGAAATGGAGAAAGATAGTTTGGTTATTTCTGAACACCAAAGCTTAGGTGTCTGCCTGCCACGTGCTGTTCCTTGGGCCTTGCTTCATTGCGAAGGCTGGCAGCTTACTGTAAACCTGCCTCCATCACTGATTAAAGCTGAACTGATGCACGTGTGTATGTTTTGATTCAGTGATTACTTTAGGAGCGTTCATTAATGCTTAAAACTGCCAGAGGTACAAAACTCTGCCAGCAGCATAAGACACCCTAATTAAGACATCACTAGGATACTTAGTGAAACCGGGCAGTGTGACTACATACAGTACCTTGTGGGTGAAAACTTCACTGGTGTTTGGAGGTGCTGCCAGTCATGCCTGATGATTACTGCATTCACTGGCAGAGCTGTTGTCAACTCTGATGGGGATCAGAGTTGGAATCCTAGATTTTCTGCATTTTTTCCTCTTTATTGACAGCTTTTTTTTTCTGACTGGCAAATTATTCTTAAAAGTAACTTTTTTTCTTTTCAGTACAGTTAGTGCTTGTCATCTCAAATTGCCGCCTGCTTTCCTAGGGTCTTAAGCAGCTGCTTTATCTTGCCGAATGCTTTTCAAGTACTGTGGCAGGCTTATTTTCAAATCAGGCAACCATTTAAATGTCAGTTCTGTTGTGACTGGCTTAATAGTAGATAACTACTGCAGTTTGAAACAACCAGCTATGTATTATTCCAGTCTTCAACTATAACTTAAAATCTTAAAATTTTTTAATGATTGCAGGACCCAAATTGAGAGAAAGGGATGCAGAACAGCCTCTGCTAGGCCCCCGCATGCTGTCAATGAGTAAATGTCTTGAAGTGTGAGAAAGGTTTCTGAAACAGCAAGTTTCCTTAACTTGAATACCTGTAGAAAGTTTTTTAACAGCCTATGTGAATATTTTCTACCGTAATTGGATTTTATTTTTTTAAAACTGCTACCTAGGACAAAGATACAGGCTTTCACAGACGTTATTGCTGGATTAAATTCTCAACTCCACAAGATGTGCAGAATGTGTTTCAGAAGGACTCCCACATACTTGAAGGTGCCAAGGTAATGTGCTAATTCCTTTAATGAAGTAATGAGTTGAGCTCTTTAATTCTGCCTTTGGTTGGACACAGTAACACCAAAATACTGTGATACTTGTTCCAGGTGTGATTAAGCATTTTGCCACTTGCTGTGCTTTTAATGTTTTTTAAATCATTAACACTCTTGTTTATTCCCCCCCTCCCAGCTTAACTAGTTAGGGTCCAAGATCATATTGATACCACAGAGATCAAAACCTCCTACTATGCTAAGCTAAAGAAATATGAATGCAGTCAAGCTATGCAGAAACTGCCAGGCAACTAGTTATTATTTGTAATACAGGTTTCTGCAGGTGGATTCCAACATCTAATTTGGACGTTGATTGGCAGGAGGAAAATGACAAAGAAAGTAAAGCTCAGCTTTGAACTTTAGTGAAAATGTCTTTTTTTTTTTCTTCAGCTATTGTTTTGTACAGGAAAAATCAGCTGCCTGCTTTCGTATGTTCAAGACAACTTTAAATTAACTTTAGTGGAGTTTTTTTGGGTTTTTTTTTTTTTTAGTTAATGTCTCTAATGTTTTAAGTGTTAGTAAAGAAAAAAATAGGACACTTCAGCAATCTCAGTGCATTAGTGGATGGTATCCTGTTAAAAACCTTTGGTCTAGTACCCATACAAAGGTGTCTGTCATTGACAGGTCAGTTAGTGCCAGACAACTGTATCATCTAGCTTCACTGAAGCAAATAAATAGAGCAAAGAAATGGCTATCCCTCTGCTTTCAAAACATTTAGTATGCAGTGATGTTGACAGATAAGGGTAAAAGGGTAGTGAGTCAATGGCTGCCCATACGCATTAATAAATTAACAGGTCTCACGTCAAAATCATTAGAAACTTGCATCACTAAATAGGTGCACGTTACTAAGGGAATTTTCTTGTAGACTTAACGTGTGCTTCAGCTGACGTAGCTCCTCAGACCTAGTAGTACAGCGTGAAACCATGAGCAACAAGCAGGCTGGCACAACAGACATGATCAATTCATGTCTTTGAATAACTGATAGGAATTCTTCAATATCCTTCTGACAACTAGTTTCTTGTTTTGATACTTTCAATGCTAGGAGACAGTAAGAGTAAGATGAATTGGCAAGAGCCTTCAGGGATGCCATATGTCGATTGTGATAAAGTATTTTGCTTGACATAGTTCATACCACTGCAGAAGTCTTCATTGGCTGTGGTTACTTCAGTACCTATTGCTAAGGAGGGCTTGACCTGTGAGATACACCTGTGGTGCAAAAATGGAAGCCAAAATTAAGGAGCTGTTTTCTGACTTCAGTCTTAAACTGACAGGCCAAGCAATAGGCTGATCCCTTATAAATTGGGCTGAAAATAACTAGGATGTTATCTGTATGCAATTATCAAATAAGTACCAGCGATAGCATAGATGAGCATTTAGTGTCAATTTCTTGGAATTTACTTTGCTGCTTTTTATTCTTGAAGCTGTGCATTCCCATAACTGCCTTGGCTTTCAGAATTATACTCTCAGAAGAGGTGCAAGAGCTAAGACGCTGCTTTATAGTGAAATAAAAAGCAGAAGGCAGGCAGTAGTTAGCTTTCTTCACTTCTTCAAAAATGGAAGCTTCTCTAAAAGCAAAATACATGAGCGCTTCTCCCACTTTGTTCTAGGCTCAGTTTAGACAGTTACCTTCTATTAGTTCCACTTGAAAGCACAAGCTTTTAAGATGCATTTTGCCTGATAGGACTAGCAATTGCTGTGCAAATTATATTCAGCTTTCCCGTCGGGAGCTTAGCCTTTGTGGTTATGGCTTGTGAAACTGAACTGGCTGTAAACCCATCTTCCGCTTTCCATACGAATGTTTTAGAAGACCAGAAATGAAAAATATCAAACCTGCTTGCCTAACTAATTTGAATAATTGCCATTGTTTTCAGCTCGCTCTCAAACAGCAGCCCCGTAGAAGACACAGTCAAAGAAGGAATCAAAGTGAGTGAGCGGTGGAAGGAGGCTTTATTTCACTAAATGTAGAGAAACTAAAATAAAGATTACTGAGAAACTATGAATGAGTATTTGTTTTAAAACAGAATCCAGCTGTTTCCCCCTCCTTATTCAAATAAAACTGTATAGCCACACTAAAGAAACAGTGAATCATAAACTCCCTAGCATCCATTACAGCGTAAGACAATAATTACATACAGCAGGAAAGCTTTTAACAGATTAAGTAAAAGCTTTAGCTACCTACAAAAACTAAAGCTGTAGGAAGGGGCTCCATTCTTACCCTGAGATGCTGGGCAACAGGGAATCAGCAAAGTTGGAGCACTTGCTAAAGTGCTAAATTCCCTTGTGAAATGTTTCAAAGTGGTCTCCATTCCTCCACTCTCCAGGGGTAGCTGTCCTACGTAGAAGAATTAGTGTGTGTATATTTATCCACACGACTGGAGTTGTGAACTGCCGCATTAAAACACCATCCCCCTCTGATAATAAAAATGCTTTTTGCATGAAGTCCAAGCTTGTAGTCCATTTCTCTACCTCTCAAGGAGCAGAGGCATTTAGTCCTTCCTCCTCTTTTTGCTCTCATGCTCATGTTCTTTAGGGCGGCTACTATCCGATGGCCGTTTAGAACCACCATGTTGCTTAGCTTCTTCCAGAAACTTGTCCAAACCAAATGGATCTTCCTCAAATTGAACTGGTCCATCTCTGCCCCTCCCTCTGGTGTTACGGTCCGAGTTAGAAAACTCTTTATCAGGAACAAACCTGCAGGAGAAGATGTGATCATCAGTTGACTGTAACTTCAAAGTACTGATTAAGAATATTTCTTAACTTTATTTTCTTACCTATTGGTCTTTATTCGAGCCTCTAGATCGTCACCATACATATCCTTATCCACATTTTTACTTGGCCTGTAGATGTTTTGGGCCATATCCTTGCCACTTCTCCAAGGCTGGTCATAAACATTGTAAATTTCATCCTCTCCTCCAGCAAAGCCACTGTCCATACCCTGTGAAGAAAGAACAGCAGTGTAACAAAAATGAGCCTGCAAAACTTGAGGTAATTTATTTTAACATCAAGATACACTGATGGTGTCACACAGATACACAAAGATGGTATCGTGTGATTTACTATTGATTTCAAATGAGTTCAAGGACTTCATTAGGCTATGAGTGGTTTTGGGTCTGGGATTAAGGCCAGAAAATATGACACAATCATTACTACAAGCTTCGGTTGGGGCCAATTCTACTCTTCCAGAAAGCACCAGAAAGGATTACAGGCCATTCATATTTCAGAATAACGTCTCATTTCAGTCTGCCCTGCAAGTACAGCTGTCTATAACAGCCAAGTGCAACCATACAGAAGCATATATTATTTGGAATTTCTGGAAAACATGATTTAAGCTGACTGATCCAAATCACACAGAGGCTTATATAAACTGTGAAAGTAGAAGTGCCTGCTTGTTCTTCACTTTTGATTCATCAGCTTTTCCTTCTGCCTGCAAGTCTTTCATTGGAGATGTGAAAAAGAATGATTGACAAACTGCAGGTCTATTCAGGGACTTTCTGGAGGCTAATCTACTTTCTCATCTCCGAATAGTATAAAGTTCAGGGAAAATTAATGTTGCTGTTAACTATTTATATCTTCAGAAGGACGTTTAACATAAGCAATAATGGGAACAGAAAGTATTTACTTGCTTCTCTCAGAGCAAATTTCCCTTGCTCAGTCAGTACATTTGTACAACACAAGAAAATGGGGTCACTGCAGCTTGGAGGCAAAATAGCTTCTTTCTCCCCACTCCCCAGTGAGAAAAAAACACAACAAAATCATTTTAATCCAGTTACACATTCAGAATATTCCATTTTTCTTGCATCAGCTATGGATAAAGGAGACCTAATCAGTTATGTAGAGACTTCTTTCAGAGTGTATCCACACCAACCATGAGAATAGTGTCCCTTTACTATTCTAGCCATACCCACTAAGGAAGGATGAGCATGTTCTCACAGAAAGCTACACAGCCGTGAAAAGGTATTTTTACCTTGCTCTGGTTGAACAGCCTCTGGTCGTACTGGATTTCATTGGACGGCCTGGGGTTGGGTACCCCGAGGGCAATAACTTCACTGATATCTCTGTTCTCATTTCTCTGCAGCTTTGACCTGAATTAAAAATTTTATTAGGTCAGTAAACCATATTTGTTGACATGCTCAACTGCAACCCGATCCTGTATTAGCTGCTAACAATGTGCCTCAGGAGCCAGATTTTGATGTTGCCCTTCCTTACTAGATAACGTTTAAAATTTGTCTCCTGGCAAAAGAAACATTTGGGGAAGTTATGTTCAGCTGGGCATTACATTCAAATTTGCTTCCCAGTATCTGCAATTTACATCAAGTTGACTTGGTCTAAAATGTTGTATTTATTTTTTACAAGAACCAGTGTAATTATATTCTGGGAAGGCCGAGCAAGCTAGTTGTAAGATATTAGAGATTTTAAGCCTCCAGAAACCATTCATGCTCAGAAATCTCACTGGCTTGGGCAAAGGCGATACGTCAGCCTACACTCATAAACCTAAGCTTACTTCAAATGAACAGCTCCAAGAAACAAAAGCATTAGTGATACTCTGGCCTCACTGAAGTTACAGGATCCAGATTCCAACCTTTGCTGTCAACATGTTATTTAAATGTAAATATACTGAAATTCTGCTAAAGAAAAACTCACGCAAAACCAAGACATCCCCCCTCCTTCATTCATCTGGAAAATTCTAAATTTAGAAGAGAGCACTGCAGTATGCTGACACAGTAATACCATTTCATAAAATGAATGAACAGTGCTTCATATCAGTGAATATCTCCACAAGGTAAAATTCGGGCACTCATATGAAGCAAAAGGAAGCCCAATGTAATAGTTTCCCTAGTGGGGAAGACAATGCCAGTACAGGCACTTTGTGACTTTCTTTTGTGACCCACCTTTTGTCAGGGGCTGCCCTTGAAAGATTTCTGTCATGCTGTCTCTCTTTGCGCCGGTCATGTCTGATTTCATCTCTTTCTCTAGCTTCTCCATCCTCTGAACAAATGCAAGATTGCTCATTATAGACAAATATTTGAAGTTTGAATTAAGTGTGCCACAGACATTGGCATAGTAATTCAATTCAGCATTCTTTTTACAAAAGAGAAGTGATCCATAGCACTATTTAAAATGTTACCCTTTAAACAAACTGAACACCTGGAAAATCACAGCTTTCTTATGCCACAACCAATTAACTGTCCTTGACAGGAGAGTTAAAGCCGATATATCCAACAACTACGTTTTCTCAACTTTTAAGAGCTTAGAATACTTGTCCATCTAGGAATTACATCCTAAAACACCTACAGATCATCATATCATACTTTTATCTCTTAAGTGTAAAAACGTCATTCAAACAAACAGGCATTTAAGTGCTTTGAAGAACATTCTGTGACTCAGTATCAGAGAATCACTCAGGCTGGGTGTTTGTAGTTCAACCCCCTGCTGAAAGCAGGATCAATGGTGAATTCAAACCAGGTTGCTCAGGGCTTTACCCTGACTCAGGTGGGGAAAACCTCTAAGGACAGAGATTGACAGCCTCCCTGGGCAACTTGTTCCACTCCTGCTTGTCCTCACGATGAAAATTTTTCTCCTTGCACGTAGTTGGAACCTCCTGCTTCAACTTTTGACCGCTCTCTCATTCTCCTACCACGCAGCTTAGTGAAGAGCTCTGAGGATCAACTTGTAGATACGGGAAAGCTCCCATTGTGTCCCTCCAAAGTCACATCTTCTCCTGGCAGAACAAGCTTCATTCTCTCACTATCTCCTGACTAGGCAGATACTGTAGGCCCCTGACCATTTTGATGGCCCTCCACCAAACTCACTTCGGTTTATAAAAGTCCATCTTGTACCTGGGGGGCCCATAACTGCACACAGTATTCCAGATGCAGTCTAATGGGTCACCAGTGAAAGGAAATCATTACTTCCCTTGACCTACTCGTTACACTCCTGTGGATGCAGCTTGATATGCTCTTAGCATTACTGCTGCCAGGGCACTCTGCTGGCTGACATTTAGTATATTATCCGCTAGGACTCTCAGGTCCTTTTCAACACAGTGGCTCTCTCTAGCCAGACAGTCTCCAGCCTGCTGGGAAGAGCTTAGTCCATCCCAGCTGCAGGATTTAGCATTATATGACCATATCCTCCACCTTTTAGAGAGATCATAACAGCTCTGTAAGTTCAGCATCTTCATCTTTGAGGTGTCATTTCAATCAAAACATAAGACCTATCACAATGGTTATGATTTAGTTAGGTTAGCAGATTTTGGGTGTAGTGGCAAGCAGAACTGCAAGTTCTGCAAGAGACAGAATACTGCATTTACCATCTTTGAAAAGTTAAAGATGGTTTAGTTCTTGTAAACAAAGTTGCTCTTCATCTGCAACAAGCTTTTTCTAACAAAAAAGATAAATTAGTTTAGAACAGTCCATGAAAGCCATTACTTGCACTGATCCATTAACAACTCTGAAATTCTCAACAACGTCCTAAACCTGTACAGACTGACATACTGCTGTGAGGTTCAAATCCAGATCCCATCAAACCAGCCAATGAATTAACAAACTTATTGGCTGATCAAGTAAAGAAGCGAAGAATAGATGTCAGGCATAGAAATTACAATTGATATTTAGGTATTATTTTTTCTCAGGTTGTTTATCCAAACCCACACTTCAGAGAGTGCTAAGAAAAACCATAGCATCTTAATAATTTAAGAAATGTACCTTTTTCAACATGGGTTTTGATCCCTGCTCTTCTCTCCCTGGCTTTCTGAGCCATTTCTCGGAGCTTTTCCTCATGTTTCTCCTTTTCTTTCTGAGCCATCTTCCTCTCCACCTGGGCACGCATCTCTACTGCCTCACGGGCCTGCACACATAAGACAAAGTTAAAGAGAGAGAAAGACCTGGGATGCAAGCAAATCTTCTGTCATGGAGTCATCCAGTAAACAGGGCAG